CAGGCATTTCATTCCATTTGTAAAGATATGAAATCTTTTTTTTTCCTTTAAGAAAAAATAATGATTAATAAAAGCTACTTGAGAAAACACTTAAACAATTTCAAAAGATGGAATGCTGAGAATAGACTTTGACAAACTAGAATTAGATACAATTTAGGATCTTATTTCTTTTCAGGTATTAACATCTTCGAAAAAGTCTTTCTAGATAAACCTGATCCACTAGCGTGATCATATAACCAGGCCTAATGTTGGCCTCTACAACAGTTTAAATCAACTCACACAACAAATTGTTTGGCAACATGTTCTTTTGCTGTATTCCGCAAACCGAGAACACCACTTTCAGTTTGATTTCTGAGAATAAATATTTTGGTTTATGTATTGTTTGAAATACCATTATCAGTGTTTGTTTAGTTTACAATTTCTGTATGGCCAGTTGGCAACGTCACACGTAAAATACCCAGACCAGCTTTATATAAAAGCATATTCGTTTAAATGATGCCCTTGCTAAAGTCCAGAACTAAGTACAACAGAAATTCTGTAGCAGAAGTTTAAAAAAAAAGCTGTTTAGAAACTATTCAAACTATATCCACAATTTGTATGGCTAAGAAAAGCACATAATTAGGTAAAAAAAAGTTTCTATAGAGTTCCAAAGCTAGTAGAGAAATACCCCAACAGATCAGCAGTTGTAATAAGTAGTTCTATAAAGCTTTTGATTGGGGACTGAACACAAATGTATGCCACAATCTTTGGAGACTTTAACATGGGAACCTAGTCACCAACTTTCTCATATCCCACACTAGACAACCAGGTTGTTGCAATGAACCTGTGACTCCAGCTTCAAAACACTATTGCCCCAATCAAAACTGAATGATGAGCTGTAACAAGCAACCCTGTCATTGCACATGTACACCAATTTATCTTGGCACTAATAGGTGTCATAGGGCATCTTCATCCTGTTTATGTGTCTGAGTGTAATCAGTCAGCAGCAACTACTTTAACAAATTCAACTAAATAACCTGCACTGCATTACTGTGTGGGGAAAAACCGAACAAGCTCAAGTGGGTGTGAGCCACCACAGCACAACAAACAGAGCCCATGTCATTAGTACCCAGTGGACAATGTCTTTGATGTTGCCTATCCCTCTTCTTGTTTGATGGGACTGGCCTTGTAGATAAAGCACAAGAATCAAATGATGTATTATGTACAGAGGCCCCACACAGCATCAGTTACCAGAGTCTCGTTGTCTGAAATACTCAGATCAAAGTGAGGGACCCTTACAAATCCAATACAAGAGTGGAACAGTCAACAGCTTCCATGACACAAAAACAAACTCCCCTTGACGAAGAGAAAAACATTGCAAGTCCAATTTAGACAGAAATCAGGAGGTGGAGAGGCTGGCAAGAGGACAAGAAAGATGAAGAGCTGCACCCACGACGAGTTTAGTCTGTGTATGGAATGTGAAGCAGGATATCTTCACACTTAAGTTTAATAGACTACCAATACACTCAATATCTGAGCTTTACATATACATATTTCTAATATGTATTGTATATTGTTTACATATACAGACTAACTTTTCATGCATGCAGCTCTAATGTATCTTTTTGCAGATACATAATTACCAAAATGCCTGAAGATAAAGAGCATTGCAAAATACACATTTACATGATTGGTGAGTATTTTCCTTCCTGGTTTAATTTTCAATGTAATATAAATAAAAAAAAAACTATTAGTAATCACATCAGTTTGATAACAACCTACTCTACAGACAGTTAGCCGAATAGTTAAAAAACAAATAAAAGCCAAGAATTAGATACAGCATATGTATCGCATATAAAAATTCAAAAGTTGAAAATGAATTAATTCATTCCAAAGATTAAAGACATGCAGGAAATAAACAGAGTGGGGTTTTTCATTTAAAACTTAATAAAATGAGTAAAACTTTGATTCAAAATCCTGAAGGATATACAAAGAAGTGAATAATTTGAAGGCAATGTTTCCAAAACGCCCTGCATGATAGGCCAGGTCTTGGTGCAGTAACAGGCAGGGGGTAAGGAAATGAGAGGAGAAGATAGGCACAGACAGCAGGAGAGGAACTGATAGCCTGGTGTATCACCTTCACTTCCCTTCCCTCCTGGAGATCTCTGGGACACAGACCAGAAAGTCTCGTAAAACTAACTTAGATTTTATAAATTTGCTTTTTTTTCTCCCTCTTTAATCCACTTCAGCTGGAGCATCAGTGAGTGACTGTGTGCAGGCCAAAGAAATGAGTAAAATCCAGCTTAGCACTACTTCACTAGTGGTGTAGTGGTGAAAATATTTCAAGAGGCATCATTATCAATTATCATTTATCATTATCATTTACAACTTTAATACCAGAAACAGCTGAAACAATGTGCAGAACCATCAAAGTTAAATCAGACAAAAAAAAAGACAACAAATAAAAAGACAAATCTAAAAACCCAACAATGTAAAGGAATTCAAAATTAAATATAAATCATAATACAATAAAGAACTGAAACAGATAAAATCAATACTAGTAAAAGTTCAGTGAAGCCAAGTCTCAGGAATATTAAAGGCCAGAATAAAAATACATTTTTAAACTGGTTTTAAAAATGGATAGTAAAGGAGGTAGGTCAAATGTACAGAGGTAGGGTATTACAGAACTTAAGAGGCTTAATAAAGAATAAAGAAATTCTAAGATTAGAACTGGGAATGAACAGGAGCTGCTGGTCACCGAGTAGGAGTGTGGTGGTGGAGTAGCACAGTTAAATAAGGGTGTTGAAAACCTTAAAAACAGTCTGGAGGACTTTAAAGTGAGCTCTAAAATACATAGGCAACCATTGAGAGTGAAGCCAGGACAACGGTAATGTGCTCTCTTTGATGCATTCCTGTTAAAAGCCATACAGGAGTGTTTGAACAAGTTGCAGATGTCTAACGGAGAACTGGTTGATTCCAAGAGAGAGTGAATTAGTAATCCAGTGATTAAATGAAGGCATGGATTTATATTTTCAACTGTTGCCTTCAATGATCAGATTTGACCTACTATATGTTTCTTAAATGGTGGAAGCTGAACATTTATTGTTTACCATAACTGAAATCATGTCTGAACTAAAGCCTAATTCTGGCTGTTCAAAATTTAATCTTACATTTGACATTCTTAAAAATTTAAGCTTTCATATTTGTAAAAATATGTGGCACTTCATACATAGAATTAATAACCTAAATTGTGAATCTTGGTTTAAGTTTAATTTTATGCTATTATATTACATTTACTGTAATATAATAAAGTAAAACTGGTTCTTTTTGAAGAAAACTTAGCTTTTAATGGTACACTATTAAAATCAAGTACCAAAAGGTTCAGAAGAAATGTGAAATCTTCACCTTAGTTTAGCAGGTCAAACAGCAGCAGCAGGGCTTTGTTTTGAGCCAGTGCTCTAATCAGGAATTATCCCTCCTAAAATGATTTGGTTTTGCTTCATCAACTTCTTTCCCATACTATATTGACAATATCCGAGCATTTCTTTAGGCGTTTCCCTTACACAACATGTTGTGTAAGGGAGACAATATGTTGCTGTTGGAAAATGACTTCTTGCTACTCAGTGAAAACACCAAAAGAATGAATGTAATGCAATTGGATTTCAGTTGGTTTCAATTTGCAACTCTCTGCTCCCAGTTACTGCGCTTTTAGATGAAAATGCACATGTTGTAAAGAACAAGCTTTCACACAGGAATGCATATGCACATTAAAGTGAAACGCTATGAAAAACCAAAATTGGAATCAATAATTTTTGCCAAAAAGTCACAGATCCCCATTCTCATTTACTTTCTGCTCAAACTGAAAACTGTATCATGCGGGCACATGCGCTGCTTTTACACACGCATTCACCCGCATCTTCAAGCACAGAGGCACACAAGCATTAAGGCGGCAGAGGTGCGACTTTAAGTCCTCTCTTTTCTATTCCTTGGAGCAAAAAGTCAGAGCCTGGGTTGAAGTGATAAGTGCACCAGGATACCACCAAGCAAAATACACACGTGCTAACACAAAGAGGATAGTCTCATAGAAAGATTTTCCTATTCAGAATAAACTGTAAAAGTAATTTTGTTGAAGCATTTCTTAGAGGAACAACACTCAGACACAGCCACCAATAATATAATTAAGCTGTACTTCACAATATTGAGAGAAGGGTGAATATTTCTGAGCTTAGAGAGAGGGCCAAAATAGAAAACAGATGCATCCTCATGCACAGATACAGCCTGGTTCCGTTTAATTGATTGGCTATATGTGGATCCCCATCAGCACTAAAGCCTTTTTGTATACTGCTGCAACATAAATTCATTTAGGTTCTTCATTTAAATGTATATACAGTCCGCCAGATAAAGCTGTTGCAGCTGTTGAACGGTAATACATAACTGGTCCTCTAAAATGTATTCATGTTGCTTGAACTTCTCCACATTTAGACACATTAAGAAAGACAAACATCAACATATTTGAATTACGTGGGAGGGAAATGATCCAAAAGAGATCCGGAAAACTAAGCAAACAACCAGAACAGCAATAAAATGGTTTAGACCAAATCACACTCCTGTGTTAAAATGGTCTAGTCCAAGTAGAGACTCAAAACCAACAAAAAATCATTGAGAAAACTTGGCAAAGCTTTTCTCAATGAAAAGCTTTGCATGCTGGTAGAGACAAAACCAACATGATTTTGCAGCTGTACATACAGCAAAAGCTAATTCAGATTGGCTGAATATATCACCCTTCACATTTGTATTTGTAAAATAATAATAACCATACATATCTTCTATTACACCATGGCATAGTATGGCATAACAGAATAATTAGTACGAAAAGAGGAGAACAAAGAAAACAAAACTACAAACTCTTAAATATTAGAGGTGTAAAGACAGATAAGAAAACACTTAAATAGTTAAAAAAAATATTTGTATACCGTAATTTATATAAGGTATAAATTGTATGCTTCATATGTTTAACTCACAAGTTTCTTCCTCTTATCCTGCTCAGTTGGTGGCTCCTCTTCGTCACTTAGCTTGGGCTCTTCAAAATGGAACATCAGCATGCAGCTGCCAACACAATAATATTCAGATCCATATTAATAACCACCCATATACCTGCACAGCAGGAGGCAATCTCAGAGGAAGCAGCGTGTGCAAACACAGATGCACAAAAAGGCTGAACCCTCTGGCATTTGTTTTACGCAGCTACAAACACTATTCATATTGGTTCATCTGCATGCAGAGAGGATCTGCAAGTAAAAACCTTTGTGCTTGGTATAAAGTCTGTGTATGGTCTTTTATTTCCTTTGTGTTCATTTCTTAATTCAGTACTGGGAGCACAGATAAGATTGTGGTGGCATGAATAGGATATTTTGTGACTGAACAGCGCCAAGTGATAAGCTGCGATCAGAAAGTCAATAAATTCTGCTTAATGACATTCAAAGGAGGGAAAATAACAGTCTTTCAACCTTTAATAGAGTGTTTACAGAAGATTTCACACATTTATGTGATGAAACTGAGGCTGAATTATAATGTTGTTATGATCAGTCCTTTAAAGCAACATCATCAGTACTTGGACATTGATTGCTGAATTGGAATTGAAGTTGTATCAATAACAATTTGAAGGGGGTTCTTTGAGGCTTTTCAAAAAACCATTAATGAAACTTATGACCATTTAAAAGCCTTCAAAGGACTCTGCACTTTTCAAACTCAAAATTAGACGTCATTCCAAAAAACACAAACTTTCTCACACATTGCTTGGCTACATGAGTTTATTCATAAACTTACAGTCTTAAAGACTGAGAAGAAAATGTACCTTGAAAGAGCAAACGAGGCTTTAGTGTGTAAATAAATAAGATAATGTTCAGCACTTTCTCCAACTACTTAAAAAGAAAGAAGTGGGCTTTTCTTTAAATAGTAATCCTGTGCAAATAAAGGAAATGACTTAATTTATATGTTGTTTTGAAACAGGCTAAATAAATAATCTCCTTAATTCATTGTATTAAATGTAATGTGTCCATTAAATGTAATGTGTCTGGACAGCTCAGTGTAATACAAAAGCATGGTGGGTTCTTGAACTTTATTGCTGCAAAGTGAAAAAAGTCTGCAATAAAGTCTGATATAAAATGGCAAATTGTCTCCATGTACTGAAGAGAGCTTTAAGTAAAGTGCACCCATTAATACTTGCTCCTTTGGATCCACAACAGTGAACCGAAGGAATTTAATGCAATAATTGCAAATAAAAAAAAGCTTCCTTTAACCCCTCTGACCATTTATTTTCAGGCAGGAAAAAATATTTTAAAATAAAAACATGGTGAACCAAAAATATCTCTGAATTGGGTGCTCATAATCTTCTAGATCAGAACCATTAAGTCTTAACCTTGTACTATTGGGAAACTAAGTGTGCAGTGGTCATACAATATTGAGGGGATTGATTGAGAATTCAGGTTGTAAATTCATACCTTTTTGTAGATTTTAAAGGTATTATTTCTGCAATTAGAAGGTAATTATTGAGCATGTAAGCCTCTCACTGCCAGTTTTTGCACTGGAATGGCCTGAAGCTATGACAAAAAGCTAGTTTCATTTTGAATTTTCAACATGTGTCCATCGTCTTTGATTATGTTATTTGAACCACATGATTTACTTGCAAATTGAAATTTAATTCCATTTCATCTCACAACAAATTAGTTTTAAAAAATTAATAAAACATTTAAAAAAGCCGAACTTACTCTCTAAAGGTCCCCGATTCTGGATCCTCTGTCATCACATCATGCAATGCTTCCACAGAAATATTGATGATGCCACAGAATTTGTCCTGGATCACACTGACAACACAGAATATACGGGATTCATTAGTCGTGAAGTCGTTAATGTAACAGCTGTCTGCTTTCCCATGTATTAGTGGGTGTGCTGGTTCAACAAAACACACATTCAATTGAGAAACATCATAACACAGCAAAACCCTCTTTCTGGGAACACAAGAGTGATAAAAAGCCAAGCAAAAAATGATTATATTCTGATTCATAGGAAATTCCTACCACAACAATTTGGCTGTGGATTTCAACAACTAGTGTGTAAAACGATTTCAAGGCAGGGGATAATTGAACATCTTACATCAAAATGTGAGACATTATTGAAAAGGTTTTCTGACATTAATGAGTAAGAACATGTTTTCATTGGAAAAATAAACACCAATTAAAAGCACAACATTTCAAACTGCAGAAATAGTCCAAGGGCCACACAAATCAGGCTTTTGCTATTTGTAGTACTGTCTACTAAGGTGATTTTTCCTGTAATGCAGAACCCACACTGGCAACGCACATGAACCGAGCCTGGAGATGACCAGCAATCATTGATGAATTATTTGAGACATTCTTAAAAAGCAGAGAAACAAAGAAGAGGACTTCAAAAAATATAAAAAGATGGAGGGGGAAAAAGTACAGAAACAGAATAAGTGTGGGAATAGGCATTGAAATATCAAAGGCTGTCAAGTTTATGAATCTGGAAAGGTAAAACCCAGGCAACGCTGCATAAAGTTCAGTGTCTGGCAAAACATAGAAACTCAGCATGAAATAATATTATATTGAGAGTAAACAGATCTGTCCCAGATTTGATTTCTCAGGAATTACTGAAGAAATTATGTGGGCTGATCACTCGCTTTTCTGAGTCCTTGTAAAATGGCTCTTGTTAAAGGTACAGTTTTCCTCTCTGACTTTAACCCAGAATGTTTTATACACTGGTGTTAAAACCATATCAATGTCATCTGCTCCACATTAGCAAAATCAGGGTAATCAAAACTGAAATAGCTATTTTATCTGCCATTGGAGAATATTATATTTTTATTTTTGTTGCTAATACAAAATCTGTGAACAGATAACTTGTCATTTTAAATCCTGTTAATTGCTATTTTTATCATCAAGGCTCAACCAGTAGCTGTATGAGAAAAGTCTGGGTGCAGTTGAGCACATTGATTTGCGAGTCCAGTGAGAAAACTGTTTACAGACAATTCATTTAGGTCAGCAACAAAGTATCTTGACAAAATTAGCAACAAGAAACAAAATAAACGTAGCACCTAAGTAAACACCTGTTTGTGCATAGATTCATAAAAGACTGAGAGGAAGGTCTAGTAAAGATTTTCTGTTGCCACATGTGTAGAATCAGACAGTTGTTCCGAAATAAATCAGAAAACTATGAACCTTTGAGATGAACTGCTGTGTGGATAGTGTGAATCCATGTTGAAGCAAACAAAACTGTCCAAAAACACTGAAACTTTAATTTCTAGGTCAAATGCTAAATACTCTACTGATGTATTCCAATGCTTGAGTATCTCTCTCCACGAGCTTTGAGTGTCCTTTTTCCATTTAATCTTGTTTCTCGGCACCACAGATCTCAGACTGTTTTTCAAACATAAATAGAACTACCTCACATGGGAGGTTTTGATTCTTCCAAAGAAGATGCTCAATTCAACCAAAATGACAGATTTGAAGGCAGATATGTTTGTGCATTTGTATTCTCTTTTTTCTTGTACTTATATGTATTGAATGCCTGCAGCGTTGTGCGTCATGCGCTAATTTCAGCTTCAACGTAAAACATGTAGGGGTTGATTTGTTTATCTGAACCGACCGTAACAGTTATTTTACAAGTTATTTTGTTTCCGAGAGGCTCAAACATTGACTCATCATTCCACCACACTCTTGTCTAGATGTAATTAGTTGATGTTGGGATGTATGGGGATTTTCTTCTGAATGTGTTGAAGGAATTTTAAAACTTTTTTTTTTTTTACAGAAAATGGATTCTTAACTTAAGCAAGAATCCGGTGCTTGACGTATTATAGAAATAAGACAATAACTCATTAAATGTAATTACTTGTACTATTGTTTTCCATAAATGTTTAGCTATTAAAAAATCTATTACTTAGCAAGTTTTATCTTTGTCTATGCAATATTTAAAGCAAATCTGGTTTGTATGTGAGTTCATTGTATAGCATAACAAAAGTTCAAGTATTCATATGCTAAGACTGAGGTGAACAAACATCAACCTATGAAGTTCAGATACATCACATTGACTGAAATAAGATCAAAAGAAAAAACAGCGGGATAAGGGAAATTATAGACAAGACATGGACTTCTTCAATTTTAGGTTTAACTGTACTTGAGATAGTTGATTTTCCACGGAGCACTTAACCCGTCTGAGCTGTCATAATCTATTGCTGCTGCGCACAAAGCATGGGGGTGTAACAAAGGATTTCATGCCTGCCTGTGCCTATGATTACCATATCTGGTTCGCAGAACATTGAGCTTCCCTAAATCTTGATAAAAACAAACTGCCAGTTGGGACATCAAACAAAAAGTTGAACTTCAAACAGCACAAATAATTGTTGTACCACTTTTGTAAAAGTTCCATTAAAACAATAAATTGAGAACTTCTTTGATAGCAAGTACATACATACATTTACAATGCACCTTGCTTCTCCTGTCAAAGACTGCAAATAGGTTGCAGCTCATTTTAGGACACTATACCTCAAATTGCAGGACAACCAGATCATCGTCACCGACATTCCTGCTCAGCAATCAGTACCCACACGAACAATTCTCTGCTAATAAATACATACTTAACCTACCGCACTAAGGAGTGTGTCGTTTTGATTTTTCAACAGCTGCTTCACAGGAAATGTTCTAAAACTGTAGTATGATCCATTAAAAGTTTTGGCAAAAAAGGGCAAGACTTTTAAGTGTTTGAGAGTATTTATATTTTTGCTCTTAACTGGTGAGTGACAGATGTTGGCCAGATGGTGTTGACTCAAAGCACAATAATCCGGCACACTTGAGACTTTTGGCTCAGTACTTATTTGCATTTTTCATCCCCCTTACTAAAATATTTGGTATTGAAATTTAAAGAGAGATGTAAATTAAACTTATGGTGGTAGACATGTGTGTAATTCTCTGAAAATAACACCAGCACTCCAGAATTCATAAGATTTATTCAAACAGCACTAATAATACTATTTGTATGAAATATCTGTTAAAGTATTTATCCAGGTTAAGGTGATAGCATTGAAAGACCTTGTCAAGTGCTTCTTTATTTTAGTAGCCTACATTATTTGGGAGAAAGTAACTCAAAACCACATGGGCATACATCAGGGGAAATACTTTTTTTTTTTTTTTACCCGTTGTCAGATGGGAGAAGAGACAAAAGGGCCAAAGATGACAATTTCCTCCTCTCAGGCTGAGTAATGTTGTCCATGCGGTCCACCCACATCTCGATCATGCTCCCCAGCAACTGGTCCATCTATAAATTAGAGCAAAGAGATTTATAAAGCTTAGCAAAAGTAATTACACACCTTGTTGCAACCATAAATGTCCAATTATGTTTTTTTTAGTTCCACCAACTGCCTTCTGCTTAACATATCATCTGAAAATGTGGAGTGTATGATAATGCTGCTCAGTTTCAACAAAGGAGCATCTAACATCTGCAGAGATCCACATCTTGGGTGGGAAATATTTTGATAGGAAACTAGTGCTTGTTAACTCAATATATCAGGTATATATCCAATACAAAAAATAATCATTGTTTCACAAAGTTTTATAAACTCCTATTTGAAGTTTGTTACAAGCCAGGTAGGAGGACACAGCACAGGTGGTACCTTCTTGGCCGACCTGCAATGTGTGTAGAGGAAAGGTCATTATGTGTATGCCACAATAAAACCTGATGATGATGGTGTGGGGATGCTTCTCTATCATAATCATAGTTGATAAAAAAGATGAATGGAGCTAAATACAACCCTCCAAGAATGGTTGTTCCTAAATGCTGGGTGTGATTGCTTTCATGAGGTCCCGTTATTTAACTTTTTATCAAATTTTTATTTTGCAGACATCTTATTTGATCTTATAATCATTTGCTTGCTTTGTCTTGTTTCTTTAAGTCATTTTTGAAAAAAGTTTGATATTATTTCTATTATTTCTTCTCAGTTCTTCACTTTTCTACCTGCCAAAAGTGCATTATGCATTATATCTTGATCATTTTAAATGTTCAATAAGTAATTAAAAAAACAGAGGTTACAGAAAAATTAAAAAAGAAAAGACGTAGAGGGCATTAATAAAGAACTAAAAGACAAACAAGTGTTTCAACTTTTTTCTTTGTCAGAATATCCTACCATCACACAAGTGCCAGCAAAAATAACCAACCCTTTCCTTTCATGTACCAATTGATTCCTTTTGAGAAGTCAATTGGTACATGGTACACATCAAGTGTAAAAGAACTGTTAGAATGGAACATGTTGACTTAATTAAAGTAACACCTGGTTCTTTGATGAGAGTGTGATGTTTCACTATCAGCACTAGATAGTGATCACATCTGTCTGCGACAGACAAGTTGATCCGTAGCTCCACCCACCATCCACTATCACGGCCAATCTATACCTCTCAACTCATTCTCGCTTTCTTCCAGTGTGAAAACTACAGCAAGCTCCCTGCGAACATTTAGGCTAGCTCATCTCCGTTTAACTGTTTTTAGGCATTCTGTCTGCAGCGTCACAGGCCTGGACAGTGCTGGGCAAATGCTTCGAGGACTCTTCTTCCACCTCGTCTTCCCAGCTCTTAGAGACTCAATTGTTCCATAGTGAAACACCAAGCAAAGTTAGGAAAATAACTTATTTTTTCAAATTTATTTTTCAAGATTCAAATTGTGCTATAAGGACAAGTGTAATTTTAGAAGAAAAAAAAAATCATTTTTTATGATGGAAGAATCAAAGTCAGGATCTTAAGGTTTAAAAATGTCCCCATTTGTAATTCTTTGGGTCATTACTTCAGCCTCAACCTGAATGATATCCTTTTAACAGCCGCTTTGTCTCTCAGACAAAATGTTGCTGAGTTGACAGCAAAGAAGGGCAGATACCAGCCTCACCTCCTGGTTGCATTCAGAGGCCATTTGAGAGAGCAAAGAGGAGAAGAAGCTGAAGTTCTGGAGCAGGACACGGCCGATGATGCCAAGGTAGGTGGACATCACAACAGGATAACGCTGCAAATCACACACACACACAAAAAAAAATCATATCAGATATGTACTAATGAATATTTAAATGCTTTGGTAAGGCTTTGACTAAACTAAGGATACAGCAGGTCATTAACCTTGGTGGAAAGATGGAAGTGGTTATGAATATGAGAAAAACCTTAAAATGGTGGCCTATTACTCTCTGATTAATACATGCCACCATGAACTGATGATATACAAAAAAATTAATATTTAAAGGAACAGTCTGTGTGATGTATGGCATACTCTATCACTAATTTAAAAAATGTAACGCATTACAGATAACTTTAAGTCAGATGTGCATGAGATGAAAACATTCTCACCTCCCCATCCACGATACCTCTAAAGACAGCTGGCATCAGAGGTTGAAACATGTGGACTCCCAGTACAGGGCTAACCTTTAAAGCTATTTCAACCACCTGCAGAGACACAAGGAGACCAAGGAGGAGGTCGGCATGTAAAATGTAGCAAAGAGAAGTATAAAGGTAAAACTCTGAAGAGAGCCAGGAAAAAAAAGAGGTCATGGAGGGACATTAAGAGAGAATATAGGGCATAATTATTTGAAAAAAACAAAAAAGAAAAACGTATATACATCGAATAATTCAGGTTCAGTGACTTCCAGAGAAGGATGGCTGATTGTGTTTAAATAATGTTAAACATGTGGATGTGTTCTGTCAGGTAATGACTCTTAAACAGAGCCATTGGTCAGTGATTTCTAGCATTTTCCTTACTGAACAGAATCTGCAAATGGTAAAAAGCAAACATAGTATGACATTATTCTTTTAAAATGGTTGGACTGCACATCAAAAAACAACAAAACCTATCAACTCAGGGATCAGAAGTCAGGATGCAGCAGGGTGCAGCAAATAAATTTCCTAATAACCTTATTAAAATCTGTAAAAATGCAGTGACAGTGAAACACTGCTTACTGGCTTTTTCCTCAAGAAGAGAATCTTACAATTATGACTCTGGGTCCAGCAACGTAAATAAGAAAACGAAAATGTACAACCAGAAAAAAAAAAAAAAAAAAATATATATATATATATATATATATATATATATATATATATATATATATATATATATATATATATATATATATATATATATATATATATGTTTATATAAATGTTTATTTATATAAAAAATTGTGAAGAGAAAAATTTCTTGCAGGTATTTGCCAATTTACCAAAGATAATTATGTTTAACTTATTTTGCTTCTAAGTGGTCAAACCAACCACTGCAGTACAAATGGATTCCTCAAAGAGTTCATGTTGATTAGCACGAGCTGTCCTCCATTGTCGGAATGTGTTATGTAAACATGTTTGTTTGTTAACTGTGTGCTGTCTCTTCTTCCCCCAGTCAACAACATTAGTCAGAGCCAGATGTGCAATAAGCCATCAGGCTTAAACACACTCAAGCTTTGTGGAATTACAGGCATTCTGCTGACACCCAGCTCTGCTGTAAACAAAACAAAATAGAAAACAGCAAACAGTTTTCCTGAGAAACGCAAATTCTGAGAGATTATTATTCAGTCATTTTCTTTTAGAATAGAAAATAAATATACTTGATTGTCCAACAATGAGGAAATTCAGATGAATCTTAGGTAAACGAAAAAGGAACCTATATAACAAAACCTATATGCATTTACAAATCACACCACTAAAATAGTAAAAGTGTTTCAAGTAATATGATTTTTTACCAATTCAAGAAGAATGCAAACCAGGCATTATTTTTTAAATATGAGGAAATGTTCATTACTTGAAGGGGTATTACCTTTGTGTGCTTTTTGCAAGTTCACACACACACAAGTGCAACAAATTTTTATATATGAAAGTTCATTCAGAGTTCTGCAGGCATAGCCTCATGATTAACATGTTTTTATTAATCCTCTTAATACTCAAGACAGCTTTTCTTGAGCCACACTCGATATTAGAGGACACATAAGTCATCCTGTAATCCACACTAATGTTTAACCTTCATTCAAAAAAGATGATTCTAATCATTTTCAATTCACTTACAAGAACAGCTGCAGAAAAAAAAATCTCTTTACTTTAAAAACCCATAAAAAAATGTTTGGAAAAAACTGAAACATTGATGAGGAAAAATATTTCTATGAACTTTCATACTTTTCAAGATGCAATTTATTTGTGTCCATTATGGACATTTGAGTAGAAAAAAAAGGAACACTGACAATGCATTTTACAGGTTTTTATTTTTGGCATGTAGACTGAGATTCTTTAAAAGCAAATTTTTATTCTCTGTGACTGCATTTCTAAAAAACAAGTGAAAAAAAGCTAAAAAAAAAAAAAAAAAAAAAAAAAGAACTTTAAAACTTTGCTTGATAGCATCTAAATAAGACCTGGTTTAAACCTAGAGGTCCCATTGTCTATAACTAGATGTCAGTGAAATGATTTTTCATTTTTGAGAGAGAGTTTAGATTTGGCTTATCAATCAGTAATATAAAAAAATGTAAATAAATAAATAAATAATAAAAATTAAATTAATTAAAGACTGATGGTTAACATTTATCTTTTTAAAATACTAGTTTGTATTTTCAACTGGAAATAAATGTTCTGCACGCCACACAAAAAACAAACAAAAATTGACAGAGAACTTTAAGTTACCTTCAGTACTTGGACTTGTCCCTCATTTGTAATGTCCTTTAGAAGTTCACAAAAGGATCGGCACAAAGATTCACCATAATTCTGTGGAAAAGAAAAGAAGGATTTGAAAATCTGATCAAAAACATTTAAATTCTGCAATTGTCTTTAAAGTGAGTGTCTGTTTCTCCCACCTGCAGGAACTCAATGGCAGACAAGTATAGGTAGGCAATTATGATCTGAAAACAGGTGCGGAGGTTCTCGGAGCTCAGCTCTGAAAAACAAACATTGTCACATGAGATGCTGAATTTGCAGATTTGGTCCATTTGATAAAATGCAAACAGGTAAAAAAAAATGTCATGGACTTAGTAGGTTTTAATTTATATATGAACAAATCATTGGATATTTTAAAAATAAATCTATAAAATGTCAAGAGTGCATGTAAAAAATTGAATAAAGCCATTGATTAGCTTGTACTGACATACATATTATGAAGTCTTTACATGCTATTACAAATAAAAAGTACAAGAAACTGGATCAAATTTGTTCTCATGCTACAGAAAAAGAGGAAAACGCAATTGTATTCTCACACTGACAAAGTTATGTTGCTTTTATTTGAACACACCAGAACAATTAATGATTCAGTTAAACAGAATTAGCTGAATCCCTAATTCTAGATGTTAGATCTGTTTCACATTACTACATCTCCTGGTAAAGGCACAACTTTGAACATAATTAAGCAGTGAAAGAAATACTGGATGGAACCATGATGCAACAGATGAATATTGTAGCATCAGCTTCACAGGCCTGGAAGTAAGTTCAAGTAGCTGCTGAGCTGCCAAGACAAATAGAAGGTTTGTAAGAATCCATTAAGAAGAACTGCACATAAATTAAGTCTGCCCCGTGAGATTATTATCCCAACATTGAATCGGTTCTGCTTCATTTCTGCATTTTACACAAGTTGGGCTGTCTGGCCTCATACTAACGCCTGACCATGAAACCTTACAGATTAGGTGCTGGCTAGGATGTGTATTTGCAAAGAAAAGGTGGTATGAATGCTTGAAGCAAATTGTAACACCTTATAAACACAACGTCTAACGTGGACAGATAATAGCAACAAGTGCTGAATAATTCTCTCGTAATAAAACAAGAGCAAACCAAAAAAAATAAAAAATCAATAAGTGTATCATTAAAAAGATGTGCATAGAAAAATCGACCTGTCACTGTAAATGGATCAGTTTGATCAACCAAGGTTTTTCCAGCCAGTCAAAGACTAAAATTCTTTTTTTTTTTTGTTTTCTTTTGTTATCACACCACAGTAAGTTTCACCAACAGCACTCTTTAGTCTGGAAGTTGTTGCTGAAGGAAGAACACTCAACGTTGACCATATTCAGTTTCTGGTGTATAACTATTAATTCAGTGGAAGTAAGACAGTTCAAAATGCCATCAAAATGGTGTTGGCATTTTGATAAGTGTCGTCACACAAAATCATACACATCAAATGTTGGTAAATGTTTCATTTACTGTGACTCAAAAGCAATATGTTAAATCTAATGACTTTGTGTTTTGCAAGGCAGTAAATCCTCAACAAGAAGGGTAGAAAATATACTTTGAATTCTGCTCCTATATCTTCTTAGTTCCTATAGAGACATCAGATATGGCTGAATAGAATGAGTAGTAAAAACATGTTTGGTGCATATCTTAATAGAGCAATAGTATTAAAACTAGTGTTAAAAAAACTTGAAAAGAATTTGGAAATGCATCAAGAAATAAATGGTCCTCATAGTAACACCACACATAGAGTAGATTATGAAGTAGGCAGATTTTGCTTTTCAGTTTTAAAGAGTGTCGTTCAATAGCTGGAGGTGAGTGTAGTAAAATGGTTCTACAATAAATGTTAATTGACTCTTGAACCACCAGTTGTGTAATAATGACAAGTGTGTGCTCAGAGTTGTGTGATTATGCTGTTTGATGTTATGTACTGAACACGGAGCATTAGTGCTCTTATAAACTTCTAAGCCTGGTGATAGAAGGAGGAAAATAGAAACAGTCAACTTTTTAAAATCTTCCATGTTTGTCATACAAATGGAAAAACCTCTCTTCTTACACAGAAAAAAATGAAGTAGGTGCAGTGAGAATGAGAAAATATGAGACAAAGTATAGTCCTGCGATAAAAGTGTTTGCAAACATCATCAGATATGTACCTCTCCTTCAGACACAAATTGTCCAAGTAAAAACTAAATAGAATATGCATTTTTAAATGATTAATGTAAACAAGTGAAAGAAGATGACCTTGTCAGAAAATAATAGACCCATTTATCCCTCATGCAAATGCTGTGTTTAACCAAAACCACACCACCGTCCAGAACACACTATCCAGAACACACTATTATCATAGTGAAGCAGGGTGGTGGCAGTATCAGGCTATTAAAGAGGCATATTTTTTCTGGGACAGAGAGCTAGTGAGGGTTGAGAGGAAGGTGAATGGAGCTAAAAATAGATCAACACTGGAAGGATATTATTGAGGAAAAGAGTCGGATACCGACCCAAATATCCAACTAAAGCTACAATAAAGTAGTGTCCATCAACCCATATTCATCTGGTAGAATAAACCCAAATTAATGGAGACTTGACACATTGACAGATGTTCTCAATTGAGCCTGTGCTATTTCATAAAGAATAATGGGCAAAAAGATCAGTCTGTAGATGTAGAAACCTGGTGGAGTAATACCACAAAAGACTTGTAGAGAATAGAGGTTGTGCAAAATACTGAGTGACAAGTGCTGAATACAAATGAATACCACATGCTGTGTTGGTCTACCACTTAAATACCAAAATACTTCCACAGTGTATTTGTACAGCAGTGATGACAGAAATTATTGGGGTTTATAAGCCCTAAGAGATGCAAAGAGAAACTGCCGGGACCAAAACTTAAATAATCACAAACAAAAGAAGACTTTTGGTGTTACCGGTAGTCAACATAATTATAGTCAAAATGTTTACAAAAAAGTGAGAGAGTTAAGAGGAATTAAGATGGAAAAGAGAGAAAGACCTGATCCTAAGATTGACAAATGGTAGCAAGCAATCTTGCCACACAAAGAAACCTGACAGCCTGACAAAATTGCACACGTTCACCAAGACCGACATTTTCATGAGTAGTTTTGAAATAACAAAACTTTATGAAAACTTCACAAAAAACCCAGAGCAAAGCCAGTGTTGACATAAATAGAATTTTTGCTCTTATCACAAACAAAACTAAGCGTTTCATGGTTGTTTCTTAAAATCAAGAGCTAATTTTAGAGGTGATAGGATAACTTTCAACTTTGCATAAAAATGAACCTAATATCTTTGAAGGTTTAATTAAAATATTTAATGCCCCAAGACACAAAAAATAATTAAGATGAAAATGTTTTTACAAAAAGGTGCATATCACATCTATAAATTTAAAAGTCATCACGATTAGCCCAAACCCTCTGAACTCAGGCTTCATAAAGAGCCTTATCCTGATCAAACAGCTCACTTGTTTATTAGGTTTGTGTAGAAAAGATTAGAATCTCCATGGTGAGTCGTGAATCACAGTAGACCACAGTGCTGGTTCACCCAGGTGATTTTGATCCTGATGTATGCCATGTGCTTCCTCAGCCGGCTGTCAGCCATAATAAGGTAATGGGGGTAATGTATGCAACCATCTGTTATCTGGTCAAGTATGCAAAGCATTCCAGGGCCTATTTAGTCAGCACATCAGTCTATATGAATATTCAACATTACACTCAGAGTATGAAGCCAAATTAGAGTAAACATATTATGTGTGCCTATGCACAAAATGAGCACAATAATGGATGTAAAACAGACAAGCAAGCACAGAAGTCTTTGACTTTAAATGAGCGGTAAGGTCTTTGTTCTGTTCTGAAGCAGAGATGGTAGAAAACAGCATTTTTGAGTAAAGATAGAAAAACCACACTATGACAAATTGAGTTTTTGTAAGCTAAAAGAAAAAAAGCCTCTCGGCTGATCCAATTGTTGAACAAGTCCAAATGTGGATATTGGACAGGTAAACAACTAATCTATTGTGTGCAGCTGTTTTTACCCAGTCCAAGTCCCAATCCTTGGTTTAAAATTACTTTTAAACCAAGGAAGTATGCTATATAATAAATACAATAGATACATTAAAACGGTAATACAATTGAGTTCATAATTTTCATACATGTTTAATACTTTGTAAAAACCCTTTGCTGACAATGACAGCCTAAAGTCTTGAACTTCTGAACATCAAAGACCGAGTTTCCTCCTTTCCAATGTTTGTTACTATAGTGCCTTGCAGTTGATGTTAATTGTGGGCCTTTCTGTCCAAAGTTTAGTCTTTGTGAGTCAGTGTGACCTTGATATAAAACAAGCCTTGAGTAAAATATTACAAAACAAATGTTGATGAAATTGTAGGTGCATTTTATAATTATTATCTGCTAAATCAACACTTAAAGTAGCTCAGTTGAAAGCCTCCCACAGCAAGACGATGTTGAACTGCTAATGGAAACAGATTGGTAGATCATCTCAACTCCACCAATCTTGCTTTCAGATGAAAGTCCCTAAAGGCTCCCATTGGTGCAAACAGACAGGCAATTACTAATGTGTTGAGAGCCAATATCCAAGATAAGGTTAAAATGCTACTCTGGTTAAAACCATTGAAAAACTAGAGTATTGAGAGGATAAATAATATTAAATAAAGTAAAACATGAACAGAAATATCAGCAAGAATTTTTCATATCGACCAATTCTACTTTGTGTTGCACATTGAGCATGTTAGGTAGTAATACCATAAGTGATGCACGTTTGGGCTAATCGTGATGCACGCCATGGTTCTCACAAGGAAAAAAAAACAAACTAAAGAAGATAGGTATCATTCATCTTGTAATTCAGATGAAGAAATTTGAACCGCACTTTAGAAACACGATCACATTTGTCCAAACATATATGCGGGGCAGACCATGCACTTTCATTAGAAGCATGAACAGATAACAAAATACTGTACCAAAGTGGAGATCTAATCTATAGTTTTTATGAAATCCAACTCTAAGGCTGTATGGTTGCAATCAAAATATTTCTCTACAAAAAATATCTCAGATATTTGACTTTGTTTTCCCCAAAAGCAAACGAGAACATAAGTAAATGATTGTGACAGCTGTTAGATCTGTCCTTATTGGACGAATAAAGCTGTCCTTATATTTCTTGTTGGCAAGCAGTGCACAAACTGAAGCAATATCATCTGAGGAAAAAGTT